ACATTTAAAATTTGTAAAAATAGTATTTGAATGTTTTTATTCAAATATCGATACGTTTAGCATAATCCCTTCATCCTGGGACTAAAGGTGAAAGGGGCAATGTTTCTTCATGTTGAAAACCGATTACATGACACAAAGACAAACCTCATATTCAATACATATAAATGGAGTCACCAATATATAGACACGATTGATACCAAGGCATCGCAGTGTCAGTATCAGGAGTGCTCCGGCATGAAGTCAAAGCTATTAGTGGATGGTCAGATATAATCCGACGTTATCCTGGGGGCAGTACAGTATACATCGTTAATAGCTGATTGATTCGCATTGTTGACTGAATGTCAGTGGCATCTTTAAAGGCAATCATGTATGTGGTGCTGTTTGTGCAATTATTGATATCAACAAATTATATTTAATAATTATACGATTCTTTTTTTATATGTAATAATACAATTGTGTTATAAATGTATATTATAAAGTTATTTACAAACTATTTCGTTCACTGGCTCCGACATATTACTAGTAAAATTTCTGGTTGTGTGTTGAAACTATCTGTTAAGAAATAATTGCTGTATTCGATGTTATTTGAGATAAGAATTTGCATGACGCCGCTCAATTGAGTTGGCCTCTAACCCGTTAAACATCGTGTCGTCACAGGACGCGCTGTCTCTGCATATACGGAGGGCGCCAACCTGCAGCGTTACTAAAGAGGTTAAAATTTCAATTGCAAATACGCATATAAGATTCGTGCAACGCGTACATCTTATCATCCTGAGTGTCGTTTCGCTGAAAGACGTTGCCATTTAACGTAAAATTACCTACTGCAAATAAAGCACTTGTTCACGTGCATTGTATTTTGTTTGCAGATTAGTACAAATTGGATTGCGGGGGGAAAATTTGTTTCATTTCTCGTCAATATTAGACGATGACCTGTGAGGAGACAAAGTTTAACGGGTTAGAGGTCAACTCAAATTCTTAGCTCAAATAATGTTAAATACAGCAATTATTTCTTAACAGTTACCTTCAATACACAACAGAATCGTTATTGGTAATATGTTCGAGCCAGTCATTATATACAAACAATTTATACCACAATTGTATTAATACATATAATTTGCATATATCAATAAATGCACAAACAGCACCCCATAATCATGCACATCCATTGATAGAGACAATGTTTTACAACGCTTTACCAGGCAAACTATTATCTTGATTATCCTCTTTTTTGTTTGTAGTGTTACTACCGGCTAGGTCGAATAGATTAGGTTGCTGAGATAAATTCTCGATTTTTTTTCTGGGGATAGCAACACTTTGTGAGTTTACTCACAGGAGGCCTAATTATAAGATTCTCAACGTCTAATACAATCGATCCTAGAAACACATTTTTCACCATCTCCAAGACTCTGATTTAGTATTTTTGAGCAATCCTAGATTACTCCGTACCTACCACCACAGTGTCAGTTGTAATTACATTCAAGACCTTTCCTTTGTCCCCAAATTGTATCATCAACCACAAATTTATCTCACGCTGTAGGCTTTCAGACTACATTTTATAACGTCTATGACTACTATGAAGTAAAACAGTATTTTTGAAGGCGGTTCGACGACAATAACCAAACAGACACAACCAGTAAAATAAGAAACAGCAACAACGTTTATTACGTAGAGACAACAAAACCTCTAATAAACATAAGATTTTACACAGATTACATAGATTAAAACACAGTCCCGTGGTAGAGAAACTGTTGTTAAAATGACCTTCGGTAAATGGTGGGAAAATTGTAATTGCTCCATTAATATCACTGATGATTGGTCAAAATTAACGACCCCTGATTGGTTATTTAGACGGCCTGTCATATCACAAATTGACATCCAGCTGGCTTCTAATTTGCCCACACATTCTCCAAGTTGTCAGTGCCTATTTATTCACTTTGCGGGTTCAGCCATGTCTGAACATTATCCCATTACTAAAACCCGCGATGTGACTTCATTCACGATGAATTGTTGTTCTTCTAGCTGTGGGTCCATAACTCTTCTTGTGTCGGATTTTTGTTATGATATATTAATCATTTTTGATACATTTGGTGTCGCTATTCTTTGTTTTGTTTTGTTTTAAATTTGTATCGACAAAAAAGAGCTATGGTTCCTTCCATAGACTTGTATAACATAAAAGGAATCACAAATAAACGTCGATAAAAGTACACAATTTTCATATTGCACGCAACAGAAACTGTCACCAATCGATAGTATGCTTATTAAACACTCAATATACACTATGCAGCGATAAGTATTTTTTAGCATTACAATCTAATTTCCGTATGCTCTGTCGGCAAGGAACATTTTCTCAAAGTCTGATGGTGGGACAAGTGCCTTATTTATCATCTTCGCATTGCCTCGAATTATTTTCATTTCAACACGTCTCTTTGCAGACTTATACTAAATCATTACACACAAGCAATCTAGCGATTACGCAATATTGTAGACCATATTTTTTCATTCCAGGAACGGTATAATATAATAAAATGTCGAAAACAATGTGGAACCAGGAAACATTATATATGGACAGCGAATGATTGACATGGAAAAACCCACCACATGGTGAAAGCTATTTCTGTTAAGTCTCACATTACCACCCAGGGCCCCGTGGTTGCGTTGCTGTCCAGGGCCCCGTGGTTGCATTTGGGTCAACCCCTGACCTACGTAACGTGACCTTCTAGTCCTGACTGGGTCATCAAGCCTACTTTCATCGGCTATTACTGGTCTTGGTGATACCTCATTTTAAGCTCTTGAGGATGTTGTAGCACGTTATCTGTTAAAGCAATATTGGTGTAAATAGGATGTAATCAAAACATTTTATTGTGTAATTGGTTATCAGGTGATGTCTTCACAATCAGAGTAGAGAATATTTCCAAGTAGAGAATAGCTTACTCTAAAACGTTATTGTTTGAGGAGCTTTAAAATTTGACCTCGTGGTACTCGTGGTATTGCTCTAGTCTACAGAACGATTGGGTTGCAATTGGTACAACTCGGTCACGGTAATCTCAGATTAAAATTATTTTAAACTGAGTAGTGTGTCCAGATTTTATGACTTAAGTTTTAGAAAAACAGTTTATATAACACTACTACATGAACATACTTACCATCTATC